TTCCATTTATTAAGAGAAACAAGCTGTCCAAACCTGCCTGGCCCTATGTGAAAAAGTAGTTGCGTCCCCCTTTGCCCTTGCTAAATCATGAATGAACTGTGATTACCCAAATTTTTCGGAAAGTTCAATTTCATTTGCCACATCCAGGCTTGATTACTGCCAGACCTGTTGAATTAAGAAATCGCTTAATAGAAGCTGTCTGACAAAGCAAAGCGCACACAAAGATCTCATCATGCTGCAATCTAAAGAAATTCAAGAACAGATGAGAAACAAAGTAGTTGACAAGTACCAGTCTGGAAAGAGTTACAAAGCCATTTATGAGGCTTTGGGACACCAGCTAACCACAGTGAGAGCCATTATCCACATATGGAGAAAATTTGGAACAGTGGTGAAGCTGTCCAGGAGTGGCCAGCTTACCAAAATTACTCCAAGACCACAAGAACAACTCATCCAGGAGGTCATAAAAGTACCCAAAACAGCATCTTAAGAGCTGCAGGCCTCACTTGCTTTATTTAAGGTCAATGTTCATGATTCCACAACAAGAAAGACTGGGCAAAAATGGCATCCATGGCAGAGTTCCAAGGTGAAAACCACTGCTGACCAAAAATAACACAAAGGCTCATCTCACATTTTGCCTAAAAACATCTTGATTATTCCCAAGACTTTTGGGCAAATGTTCTGTGGACTGACAAAAGTTTAACTTTTTGGAAGGTGTGCGTCCCGTCACATCTATCATTAAACTAATACAGCATTTCATAAAAAGAACATCATACCAACAGTCAAATATGATGGTGGTAGTGTGATGGTCTGGGGCTGCTTTGCAGCTTCAGGACCTGGCCAATGTGCCATATTTGATGGAACCATAAATTCTGCACTCTACCAGAAAATCCTGAAGGAAAATGTCCAGCCATCAGTTTGTGACCTCAAGCTCCAGCGCACTTGGTTTATGCAGTAGGGGGTTTAGGGGGGCATTTACTTTTTCACATAGGGCCAGGCAGTTTTGGACAGCTTTTATTCCTTAATAAAATGAAATCATCATTTAAAAACTGCATTTTGTATTTATGTGGGTAATTGTTGTGTAATATTAAAATGTAATCATTACCTTTTTTAGAAAAAACTAATTCTATGGGGTCAATTTACTAAGAGATAAATACTGCACTCATTTTTCAGTTAAAGTAACTCATATGGTATTTATGTCAAAAGCAGTCCATTCACTAAAAAACATGGATTATTTAAACAAATGCATAAAATATTTATATTTTGCGATATTTATCACTTAAATGTAACAATATTTTTTCTCTTTTTTTTTCACAGTTTTTTTTACATGCCAACACTGCACCAGAGGAAAAAGTTCTGTAAATGAATATATGCATAAATATTGTGAAGCTATAAAACGATTCTAGAGTGCCTTAATTCACAGACAATGTATATTATATAGGGAGCGCTTGTTAGAGCCCAACCTCTGTAGCTATAGGATAAAGGTGCCAGATGGATATCAAGGATGGATGGATGGGAGCAGTAACACTGGGCAGTTCTTTTTAGAGTGGAAGCAAGGCTCTAATGCAGTAAACATGAAAAAGAGAGGAAGGAGCCTCTAAGTGCAGTATTGACAATTTATTGGTGAACGATAGATATAAATTGCACTTACAAGATAAATAGTTGTGCACAGGCACATCCTGGGCTTTACTACCTGATCCTAAAGACAGAGTTTGCTGCTGGATGGCTGGATGTCTCACCTGGATCTTATTACACCACATGATGAGTCTTTTTAACTATTTATCTTGTAAGTGCAATGTATCTATTGTTCACAAATACATTGTCAATACTGTACTTAGAGTCGCCTTCCTCTCTTTTTCATGTTTATTTCATTCACAGAACAATCTCCCTCTGGTGAAATGTTACAATTTATCTTCATTCCTGAGCTCAGGGTAGAACATTTTAACACTGATACATTGTATACATTTAATATACTGGTCAGTGCAGTTCTCCTTATTGTTCGTTTGTACATTACTAAAATACCGACTGCTTACATCAGCTGATAAATAACAAGTATGTGTTTTTACATGAATTGACTATAATGTTTTATCTATTTTTGTTGTGTTATTTACCTCACATTTTTAACAAATGTGCGGTATTTACCTTACATTCACTTTTTAACTTTGATGAATTGACTCTTTTATTATCTCATGAGATGTTTCTGAAAAATGGGGATGTGACCTTCATATCGCATGCGCAATCCATAGGTGAAATGATAGGTAAAATTGTGGGGTTTTTTAATTTTCCAGTGTACAGTAGATTACTTCTATCACATAAAAGTCCCATTTATTCTTTTTGCAAACAAGGTCATAATCATATCTGGCCGGGGATGTCATTTAGTGCCTGTAGTAATACTAATTAACTAAATGAACTACTTTGAAGTGTAACAGCAACCAGGGGTTCGAGTAGGCAAACAGGTGATATGTGACAAAAATCACTCAGTTTATTGCTGCAGTGAACTTCAAGCCGAAAGAGTTTGGGTTGAACTCTCTGTTAACCCAAACCCAAAGTTCATTTTAGTAGAAAATACTGTGCAATTTTCAAACTTTTTCCCTTGATTTATCTATCAGTTAAATTCTCAATATATGCAATTTTTTTCTTACAAATGAAAAACATACCATGTTGTTACTTCTGTTGGTGTAATAATGTAGAAAGGCGACTAGAGTTGGGCCCTCAGGGGCTTTACCTCCTCCATTCCTGTTGCGATACGGGTGGCATTGTCCTTTTTTTAAAACTACGGAAGCATTTAAAATTATGTGTGTATACTTGAAAGTAGAGCTGGGCTGTTTGTGGCTTTATCACTTTCCCTGCTGTTGTTATACCACTGCTGTTGTCTTCTTTAAAGGGGATCTTTATCCTAGAGAGAAAAAATTAAATGTTAAAAGCTACAAATACTGTAGCTGTTGACTTTTAATTAATAAAAGGTAATTTACCTGTCCAGGGATCTAGCATTATCCTCACCCGGGCCTATTCTTTGCTGGTCTTTGGGTCCCCAGCATCAGCCTGTTTACTATGGGAAGCTGGCTGTGGCTCTTTGCAGCTTCACAGCCTGCTTCCCACTGTGCTTTGTGGATGGTTCCTCAGCCTTCTGGGACCTGTGACCTCAACAAAAGAGGGGGTCCGAACTGCTCAGATCACCTAGGCCGATGTGGAAGTGGGTACTTATCAAAACTAGGTGTCTGCTCCCCCCCAAAAAATTAACATGCCAAATGTAGTAGAGAAGGAGGATAGGAAGACATAAAGTTGAACTTTAGGGTGAAGTTCCACTTTAACTATGGAGGCACGTAAGGAAAAACTTTATTTAAAGTGGTTCTAAAGCCTAAACATTTTATACATTACTGCATTCCCTGAATTACATTATTAAATGTTTTGGTAGCAATATGCCCCCTCAACTCCACCTTATAGTTACCTGAGCCCTCACTTGATCAGCACGGTGTCAATTTATAGCGGCTCTGTCTTCTTTCCCCACTCTCACAGGCTTTGCTAAGACAGTGGGAGCCATTGTCTCTTCTGCTGTAATTCAAATCCTGTGAAAATGGACAAGGGGGGCGAGACCACGCAGACAGCATGGCTTGGAATGGGCCCACAGGTGTGTTACAATAGGAAGCAGCTTCTTATGGTGGCACAACAAGAAAAGGCGATGCCATGAGAGCCATTGGGAACCTGAGAAGAGGAGGATCAGGGCCGCTCAGAGCTGGTAAATCTAGTATATTATGTTTGTTATTTAAAAAAGTTTGAATTTGCAGTCACTAAGAATAGAGCTGGGTCCTCAGTGGCTTTACACATTCCACTTCTGTTGATATACCGCTGCTGTGATCTTGGCTAACTTTAGCAGCACCTAAGGATATGCTTTCTTTATTTAAGATTATTATTAAGCCCTCGTCAATTCCTGCTGTTGTCTTGTTTAGCTATGTAGGCAATTAAGAGAAAATATATACGTTTTTCCCAATATTAAAATAAATTGCTAGCATTTAATCTGATCATCACTATGCCTTTTCTTCAATGCACCACAGAAAAACATGCAAACTTCAGCTCCAATAAATTCTGCTAGTATATTCTGAGCTATTCAGCAATAACCCCTTTATCACTATCAAGTGACTGTTAAAGGATCATGTGAAACTAGAAAGGAATGGGATAAGTAACTGAGCAGGCTGGTTTTACGGATTAGCAGAAAAGCTTCTTAAAATATGAGATCAAAGCAAATATAATTTTGCTTGGCAATAAATACATTCTTATATCAATTGTACTGGTGGATATTTGGATCCATGGCCACATTCCTTCTTTAATTCCTGTAAAGTTAATTTGTTGCAGTACCAAGAAGAACAATAAATGTGTATTATTTTAAACTTAAAACTGTCTTTAACTGTACAATTATAGCTGTACTATTGTTTCTGACTGTACAGCTGTCAATATTATGTTTTTGTTCAATGCGTTTAAAGAAATGCTCTTTGCTTTAGTTACCCTCATGCTGCAGATTTGAAATGCACAATGAAGGGACTCAAGCAGTTGTGCATGGCGACCAATCAACATTTTCCTTTCATAACATATATATGCAGCGCTGGATGAAATGATGACGAATGAATACATAAATCAGCTGCTTAATACTATCATAAGCAATAAATAATATAAAAGAGCGCTCCAAGGAGCTAAAAACAGTAATGTGAAAAACGTCCAGGTGTGACGTAATAAAGTGCATATAGTGGTATAAAATCAAATAATTTCAAGTTCAATAACACTATAAAGGTGAAACTCCGTGACTCCAGTGGCTGTAAAATGAGTGTAGATTGCAATAACCAGAGAGCGCAATCTAATGTGCATTTGAGTAAATCAAAACCAACTCCTGGTCTTCTGGATCTAGGAAATGGAACACTGGGGGGTCATCTGGCAAGCATCAGCAGGACAGGTAACACACCGCATACATCTCCAGGCTCCAGGAACACACTCTCCATCCAGTCACTCTGCATATGCTCATTTTAGTGTGTATTGATAGAAAGTTTTTTTTTCTTTGGGAGGGTGCATGTGATCAACACAGGGCCAATCAGCACTGTCCTGACAAAAGGTCAGGGGTCATGCAGCCTCATAGGACAATCAGAGCAGAATGAAAACTTCTCCTACAAGCTTTAACCAGTGCTCAGCTGGACACTGATAGAAGTCACAAGACTGCTATATACTGTTGATGAGAAAAGGTATTTAGCAGTTTATATTTACTAAAATAATTACATTTCCATGTTCTATGTAATGTGGAATACCACATATAGTGAATTCAGGGTACTGGGTTTAGTAATACTTTAACTGGTTAAAGCTAAATAGTTTATGGTTTTAAAGAACGGGGACTATTTACAAAGCATTTTTGTATTTTGTATCTTAATCTAAAACTCAGATTTATCTGGGGGTTTTTTTAAATAGGCAATGTTGTCTGAGCCAAGTTCAGTTTTCATTTTTCAGTTTATGTGTTTATTTATTTTTTTTAGAGAAGATTTAATTAGACAAGATCATTTTTATATTCTATTTATACAGTATATTTTTATACATTAAACTATATTTTATATGGGGAGTCATGTACATTTAACATTAGCTCCCCTCCCCTTGCTGAGTCCTCCTCCTGGGCACTAGGGGGTGCTTTGGGTGGGACCCCTGTTTTTTGAGGAAATTCCTGTCACAGCACCCCTCAATCCTAAAGGGGTGACTGGTATTGACTAGTATGCCAGGTTAGATTGAAGGGATGGGGGAGAGCATGCAGTTTTTTTATACCTAAAAAATATATATCACAAATACATAAAACATATATTAAACATGTAGCAATGTAAAAACTGAACTTGCGTTTTAAAGGTTTCAGAAACAATTGAGTACTGTCCGTGATACTTTTTTTATTTGCACCAACATACAATTTTGAGGACAAGTTTTTTCGGGGAATGTCCCCTTCTTCAAGGTCCAAGCAGTACTAATCACTAAGTTTCAGCAGAATGTTAGAAGAGATGTGGGGGATGAAAAAAAAAAAAAGGTTTCAGCAATTCCATGGTTCATTTTTAATCTTTTATACAATGTACTATATATATATTTTTTTTTTAATTAGCTTCCCACTCCCTCCCCATGCCAGGCGTGCAGGTTAAATGTGAGCCAGGAGTGTGCAACCCACATGCCCTTCAGGATTAGATGGGTACTTTGAAAAAGGTTTAAACAGACAATGTTTTCTTCAGAACCACTGGTGCCTGGGAAGGGGTGCAGACATGAGGGGGGGCAGCTCTTGTACCACCTACCTGCCCTATGGGGGGCGCGTAGGTAGTAACCCTCTGCCTGCTGAACTGGTTTCTAGGAGTCTTTTAGGCACCAAATAATTAAGTATTCCACCAGTGTGTGCTGGTAAGTAAAATAAAAACCACATTACATTAATAACACTTTTATTATTCACCTTTCCAGGCTTCAGCAATGTCTGAAGGTGTCCTGCAGAGTCTGATCCACAATCAGATGAGCAATGTTGGGTTTCCCATGCTGGGCATGGTAGTAAAAGTGTTTCGGGAGATCTTCTAACTAAAACACTGGATATAAAATACTTGAAGGAAAGACCACTGAAAGATTAGTTATTCGTGAGAATCGCAGAACTTTCACTATATGTTGAAAAATAGAAAAACTTTATTAACCAATTTAAAAAAAAAAAAAAATTTCCAATCAAGTATCAACCTGTAAAATAGAAAACGTCCACTTTTTTCCTTTTAAAACCTGTACGATAACATTGCAATTTTCCAGGACGTCCTCATACACACAACCTCAAACACTCATATAGTAATTTTCCCAAAACCAACTGCTTCATGTGAATAATGTGTCTCAATATAGTGTTTGTTTGACTGCATATTCCTCTATCACAAGAAGACATATCTCACAACCACAGCCTTATATTTTACTTTGTTGAATTCCAATGCACCTCCTAACACCAAGTTTCTCTATGTCATGTAAATTCAGAATAGGAGAATGTTAGATAGCAGTAAGCATAGGTTGCCAGAAGCTGGCAGATATGGATTATGAAGAAATTCATCAGTAAATATGTCTTGATGAATACAATATAATCAAAGACTTGAATAAAATAGCGCTGCATATTTTATTCAGGTTTTGCATGAGAGGTTCTACCTTTATGCTAGCTGCTTGCTACATTTGTGACCTAGCGCTCATTACCCCTTTTATATTTACTATAATCAAAGACTTCACTGCATGACAGGTGAACTTAAAGTGTTACTAAACCCACAACAGTAAAATCAACCTGTATAAAGCATGCTTGTTATACTCACTGTGGAACCTAAGGGGTTCATCCTCTGCATTGTGTAAAAAGGCTGTTTGATCATGTCTTCTCTGCTCCTCTTGTTCAAATGTCCACGTCTTATTTCCTGATAAAACAGACTGAAACCCGTAGCCATTCTGCACATGCTCAGTTTAGTGTGTATTACTAGAGAGGTTTTTTTTTTTCTTGGAAGAGTGCATGTGATCAGCACTGTCCAAACAGAGGTCAGGGGTTTTGCATCCTCCTAGAGCAAAAAGAAAACCCCTTCAAGCTTTAACCAGTGCTCTGCTGAACACTTATAGAAGTCACAAGACTGCTCTAACTGCTGATGAGAAAAGGTATTTAGCAGTTTACATTTACTATAATAATTGCATTTCCATGTTCTGTGTACTTTGGGAGACCAGATATAGTAAATGCAGGGTCTTGGGTTTAGTAACACTTTATATTTTCCAGTCCCATTTGTGGGATTATCATCATGCAAACTTATGGCTTTTCAAGTAATTCAGGATAGTAGCAAATCGCATGTTATGAAGCAGCTAGCATAAATTGCCAGAAGCTTGCAAATACGGTTCTTAAAAGTTCACCAGTAAATATATGTTTTATGGATACTTCACTGCATGACAGGTTTATTTTAATTTTCCAGTCCCAATTATTGGGAATATCATCTTGCAAGCTTATGGATCTTCAAATAAAGCAAGAAGAATTTTTAGAGAGCAGCCGGCATAATGAGTAGAAGTTTGCAGAATGCAGATGCAGTTTTATAAAAAAAAAAAAGGGCCATCAATTTCTTGATGGATAAAACCTATTTGTAGGAACATAAGCATTCAAGTTTATGGATCCTCAGTCTATTCATGTTAAGCAGATTGCCATAAATAATGTGAGTAGCAATGGTTTACCAATACACAGACTGACAGCTGAAGGATTAAAGCAAGGAGGGCAATAACAAAATCAGAGGCATTCCTCTATATCAGTTCACATACACAGCCAGATTGCTTCCAGGACTCAGGACAATTGATTCACCTTTGGCAGACACCGCTACAGTGACAGTAAGGCGCTCACACATGCCGCCCTTGTGCATATGCACATATTATTATTATTATTATACAGGATTTATATAGCGCCAACAGTTTGCTCAGCACTTTACAATATAATGGGAGACAATACAGCAACAATACAGTTCAATACAAGAGGGATAGGAGGGCCCTGCTCCTCGGAGCTTACAATCACATACTGTCATAGTGACCATAGAGATCATTCCTTGAGTGTCTTACCGCTCCTGTGTAGCCTGTTATATGCAACGATGAAGTGTCACACAATATCCATGTGTGTTTCCAGGCACCTAATACCTCTGGCTGTCATATGTTGTCATGCTAGGCCTGGAATTGTGTTAATGGTAGGTTGAAGGAAAAATAAGAAGAAAACAATCTAACGTGTGTAACCAACTGTTCTGTGATATGGAATTGTGCAAATTGTCAGATTTGCTGTCTTATGAAGACTATTTAATGTGACAAAGGATATGGTAATTGTGGGTAGTTAGTAAATGTACCTTATGCCCTAAAGTGATTCTAAAGGCTTACTATTTTTCTAAATAACAAACATGTCTATACTTACCTGCTGTATGCAGTGGTTTTGCACAGAGCAGCCCAGATCCTCTTCTTCTTGGGTCCCTTGCCGGCCCCTCCCTCCTGTCGGGTGCCCCTACAGCAAGCAGCTTGCTATGGGGGCATGCGAGCATGTGCACTCCCCAGCCGCTGTTCATGTCCATTCAAACGCAGAGCCGTGGCTTGGCCCTGCCCTCTCCCTTTTCTCATTGGCTCACTGGCTGTGATTGACAGCAGCGGGAGTCCATGGCTCCCACTGCTGTTTCAGCCAAGGAGGAGAGGGCGTCCCGGGATAGCCGAGACTCCAGTGCACATCACTGGATCGAGGGGGCTTAGGTGAGTATTAGGGTGGTTGGGGGGGATGCTGCACAGAGAAGGTTTTTTTCCCCTTTATGCATAGAATGCATGAATGTAAAAAACCTTGAGCCTTTACAGCCACTTTAAATTGCTCCTGAGAAATTGCAATACAGTTTCTGATGTGTGACTTCTTTGTTCCTGTAGCCCAATAGCTTGACTTCTGGATTGTGAGAACATAGGCATATCCTATTTACTGGAAACAACAATAAACAGAAGGTGCACTGACCTAGTGCATTACCAAAATAACAATTTATTTAGAATTGTTTTGAGGGTTGAAAATTAAATAAATATAGGAATGTGCTAATACTTTAAATAAAAACAACCAGATAAAGTGTCCATAAATTATTGTGTGAAAGTCCAAACACCATATGCATATCAAAACGTCATCATGTGAAAATCATTACACCGTGATCAATCCACCACCACATAAATTGGATAAACTCACCAGAGCTATATGCTCATCAAATTATAAACCAGCATAACCGCTATTGCTCTGGGAGCGATGAATGTAGCAAATCTCCAGACTCTAGATGCAATACTCTGCAGTGGTAGGCAAATTCCAGACTCTAAGGCACAATACTCTGCAGTGGTAGGCAGTATCCAGACTTTAAGGAGCAATACTCTGCAGCCAATAATTCATAAATGAGCCTTTTCATAAATCATCGTTTCTCCATATACATTGGGACCGCACTCAGGAACAAAGAAAGAGCATGATGGTACAGCAAGTTTAAAACAATTTCCGTTTAATAAACCACAATAACACTCACAAGTAAGGTGTCCAAACTGACACCAGTATAATCAGCATAGGCAATGGACAAGCCCCGATCCATGAGGACGTTGTGGTGACGAAATGCGTAGGGCGGGGCTTATTGGATGTTGACGTCAAGCCGCTCCCTGTGACTGTCGACTGTGCTCCGCGGTGATTATCAAGATATGGAGACTCAAAGACAATTAAAGGATCAATTTATTCAGTTTGCATAGAGCACTAACCAGAAGCAGACCTGCACTTATGGAGAGAGTGCACAGCCTAGAGGATAGGATGCCTGAAAGAGAGCAGTAGGCTCACACAGGAGGCAGGTTTTAAATCAATGGTAAAACACAGAGTTCTTAGTGCTTCCTACTTTGCATTCAATCAGGGTTTGGTGATGGTCTTCCTGTAGGTTGGATATGAGTGCCCTTTTTTTACTCTAATGCCCATCAGAGTCAGCAGACTGAATGGTTTGGGGTTCTGAAAGCAACATTGTGCTCCTGTATCTACTTGAACATTGGCAAATGTGTATTTGATCCTAACGTTTTATCCAGCCAAAACTTTTTTTTTTTGGATCAGGAAAGGAGGGGGTTAGAACATTGATTGGGTTTTTATGGCAACCTGTGTCCTCAATGAGTAATTTCATCCTCTCTGCGCTGGCAACCATTGTTACTGGGACAAAAAGTGATGGGAAATTCAAAACTTTACAGTTGCCATTGGTTAAAGAAGAATTCCAGGCAAAATTATTATTTACCCATGCAATTGGGCTATGCCCACACTGCATGGGGTAAATGCTCATTTCTGTCTAGGGGCTTGGAAAGCAAGATGTACTTACCCAGGGGTGGACTAACAACTCATGGGGCCACCGGGCAATAGGGGATCATGGGGCCTCTGTGTCCTTGCCCAAACTCAAAAAAGCCTATGAAAAAGGTACCAGGGGCATCTCATGGGGTCCCTTACTGACCCCGGGCCCTCGGGCAGTGCCCAAGTTTCCAAATGGTCAGTCCACCCCTGTACTTACCTAATCTGTCAATCCTCCAAGTGCAAGACCGGTCCCTGCCACTCTTGCCTCTCTTGAACGCTACTGGTCTTGTGAGTGGGCTGTTCCTGAAGTCATCATGCCCATAGACCAGCTCTGGACATGGGGGAGCATGATTTTCCGGAGGATCAGAGGAATTCGTAAGTACAACTTTTCCTTGAGACCCTGGACAAAACAAGCACTTAACCCATGCAGAGCAGGCATTGAATGGGAAAATAAAAGTTTTGACCGGAGTTTTGCTTTAAGAAGGTGACACAGACATCCAAAAAAAAAAACTCTTAGGGTTATAATCATTCCTTACTCTAAACCTAAAATATTTGAAAAATATGCTGCTAATTAAACAACAAATTACAAAAAAAGGCAAGATTTATTACAAAGGCAAAGAAAAATGTTCATACAATGCTACTGATATATATTTGATTATAAGCATTGGTATAAACCAGATTTGGAGTAGGGGCCAAGGATAACAGGATAACATGGAAACTGAAGCATGGTCTGAGCTGTTTGGTATATGAGCTGGCAGAAATACACACTGCACCTACTTCACAAAATATAAGTGAAAGTAATGAATCTCAGAAAACAAATTGCTGTTACAAACACAATGGATACAGAGCAACCCTGCCACCAGCAGGATAAGCTGAATATGACCACTTCATGACACTCTTCATGTTTCAACTACCAAAATATTAATCTTTAACATTCAAAATGTCTAAGAATTCTATAGTCATCAAGATTTTTAATTTTTTGATGAGTAAAACATTTTTAGAGTTTTTTGAATATTAAAGATCGTTGTTTTATGGCAGACATTATGCTTTGTATTAAAGCAATAATAAAGTCAAAAGCAAACATTATATTGCAGCTTACCAATTCTTGGATGTGATGGCTGCATTTGTTTCTTATTTTTAGACTCTTTCTTCTATTTTCCTCTGGTGATTCAGTCAGTAAGTCTGTTTTTCAGAAGTTCAAGATCTCCAGCAGAATGTATCAGTTACATGGATAAGACAATCCATTTACCACTGACAGGGGTGATCTAAAATTACCAGTTTTTGTGTTATAAAAAAAAACTGTTTGCTGTAAATGATTGATTATAAAGTGTTAGCTGCAGGAAATTTTTGGGAGGAACTTGCGACAATGCATTTCCAGCATCTCCAGCATTGAATGTATGTAATGACAAGTGGTGCTGGGGTGTGCTGGAAGGTCTTTTTATTCTGGCTGCTGGGGGATTTATTGTCGCTGTTGAGGGAGTAGTGTATTGTTGCTTGCAGCTGGGGGATCTATTGGTGCTGGTGGGGTCTATTGTTCCTGGAGTGGATCCATTGTTGCTGTGGAAGTATTTTGTTGCAGGGGGTCTATTGTTGCTGGGGAGATAAATTGTCAGGGGGGGGGTTATTGTTGCTGGGGGGCTATTTTTGCTGGCTGTAGGGGATCTATTTGACTGCCTTTCTTATCATTAACAAATTCCATACGAATTACTTAGCAGGCATCAAAAAACGATACTTGGTTCTGTTTTCTCCAAAAGGGACAATACTGGGAGGTGGCTAGGTGGTGGAACCAAGGGACGGTGCTTGGAGTTGGGTAGGGTGCAGAAACAATGAGCAACTCGGAAGAGGGAGTACCTGCAACTATTTTCTGAAAGCTGGAGCATTTTCTGGTTAGCTGGAGTTTGGCTTCAATGTGTTAT